GAACCGCAGACAGTTCTTCAAAGCGGTTATCTGCCTCGCAAGACTCATACCACAGACATAACTGCTAATTACTGGATATTCTTGCTTGAGCAATCAGCTTGATACGTTCATTAACACATCACCTAGAAATATAATTGGAGACCTTTCTGAGAGCTCTTCTTCCAGCCTCAGATTGTTCCGAGTTGCTGGCTAGGCAAGGAGATCACGTTTTAGACTGCTTTTACTGGGATGGGGCCATTCCCAGCTACCTACCCTCAACAGTTTACATTAGTGATCAATTAGTATATTTACTAATATACAATTAGCATATTTACTGCCATTCTCTTGATGGATGAATAACAAATTCTTTCTTTTCCATGGATTCAGCAGCTCCCCAACAGCAGTGTGAGTTATGCATATGTGTAGGTACTATAATGGTGTTTTACTGTGAAGTATATACTACTGACCAATTGATTTTCCTTCATTTTGACTTCAAGGTTTGTAGGGTTGGCTGAGGATGTAGCTAAAGTACAAGTATTTTTAAGAAGAGAGGTGAGTACACAAGGCCAGAATATCTATGTGCTAATGCAATCCTCTCCTTCCACATACACACAGCATGACAACTTTCTTTTCCTTTCTAAGAGAAATTAAATTGGACACTGAAAATTGACTCCTAGACTGAGTAACTTGCCCAGCATTAGATCTCTCTGCCCCAAGTGTGATCATACTTTTAGACAGTATCAAGGCACAGACTACTACTGCATGATTTCTGCCCTATTCCACTCAGTGAAGCAATGGTGTAAATCTCAAGGCTTTTCTATCGTTCCTGCTTCTAACACTGATTTTCTCACCTGGATCTGTTTATACACATGCCTCCCCAAAACAGCCAAGTTCAACTTGCCCTGCTTAACTGCAGTCTAGTCCTGTGCATCTGCACCTGGGCCCCCTTCTGGCTACATGCAGATGCATTCAGTCTTGATATCAACAAATACGCTACAGTTCATTCAAATCCAAAAGCAAGAGCTTCCACCTACCCTGTCTTCAGAGCCCAGTACATGTTCTCTTGAATAATGGCCTAACTTGTTACTAGGACAACCAAAAAAGGTGACATCACACCTACTTCTTACACTGTGTGTATGCAGAAGGCACCAGAAGATCCAACCTTTTTCCTTAGGCACCTTCAATTATTCTGCTATAGCAGGTAAGACAAAAAGAGAAGTGTAAGCACGACTCTCCCAAGAGCCAACCGTAATTCAACCAGTGTGTAACTTTAGTTTGCATCTGTACACTCAAGAATGTTCTTCAGCAAAACACAGTCTCTTGAAAGCCAAAACAGGCAACTAGGATACCACCTCTAAGATCAGTGACCTAAATTCTAAAAAAAAAAAAAAACTGGTCACCTTCCCCTTCTGTGACCCCACTACTCTGCAACTGCTTTCTGTGGTGGCACACCTCCGCAGGAAACACCTCATCCCTCTGCTTCACCCCAGAACAGTCTGTGGCCTCCTGGCCACAAACCTCTGAGCTGTAAGTTTGACTCCCATCAAGTCGATGACGTTGCTTCGCCCAGCACAACTTTTCCAAGCCAAATGCTCTCTCTCATGGGCTGTGACTGACACTCCTCACTTTAAAGAAAGCTTTTGCTGCAGTGTTTTGTACATACCCAATTTTGTAGGCATGTGTAAAATCAGATTTGTCTTCTGCAGCTCATTCCACAAATCCTGC